TAATATACAACAAATAGTGGCCTTATCCGATCAATATCATTTTTTTATTTGGTCTACAAACTTTACTTGTGTTACTTTAATTTAAACATTGGAGATTGTGTTAAGGTTTTCGGTAGAGTAAATTCCAATTTCGAAAGTTTCCAAATAATATGTTTATTACTGTGGATTTTGACAATTATTGCACTTTTTCGCGTCCTCAACCGCTTTCAATATTTGTACAGTTATAATATTTCGTACAAGGACAAGGTATTATTATATTTACCAGTAAGTATGGCGTTCCGTTCCGGTCAAAATTATTTCAAGTCAATAAGTAATATTCAAACATCATATAAACATGTTATAACTTTCAATATAATGTTGAAAATATCAAGATGAAGTTCAAACTCAAAAAAAAACAAAAAAACCCCGAAAGTTTAAAGCATATACTTAAAAAATGCAAAATACATTTCAAATCTCAAAGGATATATATGAAAATTAAACGCAAGTCCAAACTTCTATTTATAAAGCGAAACTCCCAAATGATAAGTCAAAGCCGCGACTCATAAAAATAAATCGAAAAGTCAAAAATATAAATCGAAAGGAAACGGAAGTAAGAACTAAAATACAGAGGAAGTCAGGAAACGGAAGTTAACCACAAACATTGCTGATTCAGCCCAATATCTTTCTCGCCGTCTGGATGTTTACAAAAGAAATATAAATATTCTTGTACTAATCTATAGCCAATTCTAGGTGTTACTTGTAAGATACCACGAACAAATAGATCAAGATCATTGTCCCTTATGGTAGAATGTGATTCCCTGTTCGTATTAGCTGAGACAAATGAACGTCGTCGTATTGTACTCTCAGATACTCAAAATTTGTTGCAATTTCTGCCCAGGAAAGTCCAACTTGAGAATTTAGAGTTTTCAGCAATGTTTGTGGTTAACTTCCGTTTCCTGACTTCCTCTGTATTTTAGTTCTTACTTCCGTTTCCTTTCGATTTATATTTTTGACTTTTCGATCTATTTTTGTGAGCCGCGGCTTTGACTTATCATTTGGGAGTTTCGCTTTATAAATGGCATATTGCATTTAAAATCCGTACACCCCCTGTTGAGGACACACTGTTCGAATATCTGCCCCCCTGGAATTCCATGTCATTTCTTCTCTTAGGCCCTGGAATTCCACAAGTTTTTAATAAATTACCCTTGGAAATCTGCTATGTTTTACATTCCCCTGGATTTCCTTGCTATGTTTTGTCTTACCCTCTGGGATTCCAAGCATTTTAAATCAATTACCCTTGGAAATGTGCCATTTTTTCATCCCCCCTGGAATTTCCAGCGTAAATAAGTGACTTTTGAACACCTCCCCCTGGAATTTCTAGCAAAAATAAGCAAGTTTTGACTCTCACCCCCTGGAATTTCCAGAGAAAATAAGAGTTTTGACCCCACCCACTGGAATTTCCAGCGAAAAAACACGAGATTTGACCCCCACCCCCTGGAATTTCCAGCGAAAATAAGTGAATTTTGACCCCACCCCCTGGATTTCCAGCACAAAAAATGGAGGTCAACCCCTGGATTTCCAAGGTCCTCAACAGGGGGTGTACGGATATTAAATGCAATATGCCAATAGAAGTTTGGACTTGCGTTTAATTTTCATATATATCCCTTGAGGTTTGAAATGTATTTTGCATTTTTCAAGTATATGCTTTAAACTTTCGTATTATTTTTTTGAGTTTGAACTTCATCTTGATATTTTCAACACTATATTGAGAATTATAACATGTTTATATGATGTTTGAATATTACTTATTGACTTGAAATAATTTTGACCGGAACGGAACGCCATAGTTTGCACTCCTTTGAACTTCGTGATAACAAGCTTGGGAAGTTTTGTATACAGCTTGGACTCTTTCTCTTCATTCTTCGAACCTTCCAATGACTTCTTCTCAAAACTAAGCTTTTGCTGCAACTTCGCTTCCTCGAATTTCATTTCCTCCTGGAACTTCTGGTGACGTATTTTAGAAGCTAAGTCCTCTTCCTCCTGTTTAACTCGTTCACTTTCAGTTTTCTGAATATCCTTAATAACCGAGTTCAACTCTAACACACTAGCCTCGTATTTACTAATGTCACTCTCTATCTTGGTACTCCATTGTTTGATGTCTTGAATGTTCTCTCCTTTCTCTATCTTTGCTTCTTGTATCTTCGTTTCCAGGTCCTGGATCTCATCGATCTTAGCTTGCAAGGTTTTTAACTTTCGTTCCATGGTGGGGACATGTCGTTTTTCTAGAGCTTCCCTTACACTCTCATTTGTAAATTCCAGCATTTGCAGTTTAGTATTTACCGATTTCAACAATGTTTCCATAGTTCCATATTAGGACCCTTGGTGGGTAAGATTATATACAATTTGTTTGATCAATCCAGTTATATATTGAGGTCTTCAATTTCCGTAAGAGTATCACAAGCACACTGTCCGATAGATAATACTCTAGCTGATTCAATATTAAACCACAATCCTGATCAAACCTTTACATGATTCAGCCACTCATTAGAACCCAAATAATAAATTGTTTAATCACTCCAGTTACGTATTGAGGTCTTCAATTTCCGTAAAAGTGTCCCAAGCACACTGTCCGATAGATAATGCTCTAGCTGATTCAATATTAAACCACAATCCTGAATAAACCTTTACATGATTCAGCCACTCATTAGAACCCAAATGATAAATTGTGTAATCACTCCAGTTACGTATTGAGATCCACCACGCTACAATATTATAGAACTACAACTCACCGTCCAAAATATTCCTTTTCGCTATTTAAATAATGTATTGATAGTCCACTTCGAAAATCCCAGAAGATATACTCGATAAACAACAACAATCCTTCGTTGAATGAATAAAAACTCCAGTTAAAGTAGATATTCGCTGAGAAATTTCAATAAATATACTCACAACGTCAACACGTGTTACGCGTTAGGAATTTGGAAACAAAGAAATACTCTGCGTTTCTGTACAATACAGTTGAAATGGAAAGCAGGTTTACAATGAATTTCCTTTTCAAAGGTATTGGTGAAGAAAAAATGCAGGAAAGGACGTTTTTGAGCAGCTCTAGCTTTGCTGTATAAATATACAAAACAATATTTATTTTGCCTGTGTTTATAGGATCTGTATATATAAATTAACCACAAGCATTGCTAGAAATGTGGCAGGCAAATGTTCGTCTAGGAAGTTGACACTTCATTTATTTATTTTTATTTATTTATTTATAAATCCTTCATACTATCCTCGAGTTCCACCTCCACTTAGTTTGCCTTGTTCGTCTTCTAGTCCTTGTTCTTATATTTTTTCTTCCACTTTCGTGCTATTTTCTTTGACTTTTCCTGTTTTTTTCTCTAATGGTTGTTGACAAACTAAATTTCGCCTAATGTTTTTCCACCTAGAAATCCAGCATTATTTTATTTTTCAGGCAAGATGAATCTAATTCTATGGAAGCTCGGATTTTGAGAATTCAAACCAATGAGTTGGTCGATTCAAAGTATGGCTTTGATCGTTACAAGGACCCAGCTGACCGCCTGGGGTGGCTGATTAATATGCATCCAGTAAGTAAGATCTCCGTATTCAAACCGTTTTGCTATAGGATTAGTTAATTTGGTTGTTAGATACAGTATACATGTACCATACACCCACCGCATGTCACATGCAAATGCATGGTAAATAACTGTACAGAAACATGGTCGGATTTTGAGGGGAGGTGTGGGGAGGTGCACACCTCCCCTGAGATCGTTTTGCACCTCCCCTGAGAATTTTTGCACCTCCCCTGAAAAGTCGTGCACCTCCCCTTGGGAAAGTTTCAATGATAGATCAAAGCGAAAATTTGACATTTTTTGGCTGCTTAGGGTCTACACTTCGTAAGAAAGTTTTGTGATAGAGCCATTCATCTCTGTATCAAGTACCCTTTTAATGCAATGTTTCGAAAGAAACTTTGTAGTAATTGTAATGAAGGGTAAAATTGGATGAGTTGTACAGTCATAATTCATTAATACATTGATACATATATACAGTACATGCCGCATATGTCATGTTGACTTTGGCCCTTTCTAAGCCCTAACTTTCCATGGGGGTCGTGAGCTAGACTGCTGCACCTTCCCTAAAGTTTTTTCCACCTCCCCCACTATTTCCACCAAAATCTGGCCTTGAAGTATATAATAAATTTTAATAATATAATTTCAGAAAAGGCCCTTGGAACGAGGTTGAATATAATAAACTTTTAATTATAATTTTGGAAAGTTAATGATTAAACCTTAAATCTCAAAAACGTTGGGTCGGAACATAAACCACATAAAGTGCATGGCATGATGGTCTTCCTCTTTTACTGGCACGTGCAAGAATGCTTTCTTTAGATCTCTATTGAGTGCTACAGCATGAGCTGTTGAGCTCTAGATCTGACTAGAGCATTTTCCACATGTTGTTTTGTAGTGCTGGACATCCGATGTTCTCCATGGTCTTTGGCACTGGCACCGTACACTATGCAGAGCTTGGTTGTCTCCGCATTCCTTTCACCATGGGCTTAATGCAGTGTTCAATTCCACTCCCTTTTCTTTTTCATTTGCTGGTTCCACCACTCCTTCTGATTTTTGCTCTTCGATCTTCGCGGCATACGCTTCGTTCAGCCCAGATCTTTGTAACTTGCACTTCACGAACCTCGCTTTTCGTTAGTTGGTGAAGGAGGGTGGTTAATTACACCTCTAGCGCAGCATGCGCACGCATCCAAGTTTTCCATGTGTTTAATTATGGCATGCGCAAGCACCGTTACTTGCCTAATTTATCATTTGACTGATGCAAGTAGTATAGTGTCTTTGTCATTTGTGCAGGTGAACACAAGTGAGCGCGCGCACTCAATTATATTACGTCACAATGCCCAGGCAAATTTTTTTCGTAAAATTGACATAAGAAAATACAACTTAATTCAATATCAGCTGGTTAAAAACAAAGCTAATTTTAAGCAATATAGTAAAACCAAAATTCGATACTAGTGTGTATAAAAGTTTAAAAATATCCTTACCTTTAATTGCTTTAAAGCAGCAATTTGTGCCGTAGTAATGACCCCGACAGACGCACTTGTACCCTTCTTTTATCTCGGGGACAGAGACAACGACAGCCCGTACTGGACATAAAAGAACTGCTGTTGCACAGCTGACAACAACAACAACAACAACAACAACAACAACAACAACAACAACAACAACTACAACAACAACAACAACAACAACAACAACAACAACAACAACAACAACAACAACAACGAAATCGCTTAGGAATAGAACGCTTAGAACGAAAGCGCGCAACATTTAAGGAAGATCCATTTGCACGTCTTCACATCGCAAAAAAACTTTGCCAATTAAAAAATTAGGATTATCTGCGTCACTAATTGTTCACTACGTCAGCTCACGTCATTCGCCCGAGTTTTCTGGGAAACACGCCATTCTTAACAGCACTATGCCCGCAACTTGCGTGTCACTCAAGAGAAATCTTATTTACTTTATAAATTGTAAAATTGCTTTCTAAACCCTACACGTCTCTTCCGCAGGGTTTTTAAAATTATTTCTTTAATATTTTCCTATCTATTGAATTACAGTCGAAACATTTCCTTGTGGACACTTCTTGTAAGGGGATACCTCGCGTTAGAGCATACTGTACTAAACGTCTAATTATACTACTATTCTTAGTGCTTGTAATGATATGCGAAGCTAAAATGAGTTCCTTCTGGTCTTGTTGCAATTGTGGTGTATCAGCTTCTTCCAAAACATCAAGTCGGCAGAACTCACCGTATTCGATATGGCTGGTTTTGGGTTAAAAACACCCGAGAAGTTT